GAAGTGACTGAGGAAAATGTGGGGATCCAACGGAAATGAAAGACTGTTGTAGAAAACAGGCATTCTTTAGACCCTTCATCTGTCGTGACTTCTTTGCATTTTGCTATTTGACTAAAACTATTAGTGATTCCTCTTAGTCTAAGAGACAAAACCAACTTGCCAACTGGCATTTAAGAATCCTTTGGCTGGGTGTCGTGGCTCAAGCCTGTAATCCCAGCACTTTGGGAGGCCGAGGCGGGTGGATCACAAGGTCAAGAGATCGAGACCATCCTGGTCAACAAGGTGAAACCCCATCTCTACTAAAAATAGAAAAAATTAGCTGGGCATGGTGGCATGTGCCTGTAGTCCCAGCTACTCGGGAGGCTGAGGCAGAAGAATTGCCTGAACCCAGGAGGTGGAGGTTGCAGTGAGCCAAGATTGCGCCATTGCACTCCAGCCTGGGTAACAAGAGCGAAACTCCGTCTCAAAAAAAAAAAAAAAAAGAATCCTTTAACAAAGGACTGCTCAGGCTTCTCTAACCACAGCTTATAAAAATGCCTGGTGGACCCTGGCCTTTGCATCTCATGATGATCTGTAATCTAATTTCCAGTCTGTCTTCAACGATGAAGTCAAGGTTTGCTGACCATACTCTCTGAATGGCCCAGAACATGCACAGTTTATACCTGTTGTCTCAGCATACTTATTAAGAGTATCCTGTTTCTCATTCAAAAGTATCTCAGCTTGGAAGAGAAATGATATATCATCCTGCTTATGAATCTTTCCTGCCCATCCCAAACTGTAATGGTATTTCCTTCTTCTGAAATACTCAGAGATGTCTGTCTCCAGTTCTGCTTTAGCATACTGATTGCAATGTGCCCACTGTAGGTGCCAGGTACCTTAATACACTGTCTATCTAATCTATTCAACCTATTTTTTCAGATAAGCAATAAAAGACACAAAGAGCAATTTAGAGTCACTTCTTGGCCATTGCCTCAGAGACAGTAACAGCAGGACTTTGATTTAAATACAGAGCCATCTGTCTCCAAAGCTATGCTTGCTTCACCACGTTGAATGACCAACTTGTCTCAGTTTTCCTGGGACTGTCTCAGTTCTAACACTGAAAATCTCTCATTCCAGGAAACCCCCAGTCCCCTGCAAATGGGGAGGAAGGGTCATTCTCCCTACCATGACATGATCAAGGCCTCAGATGACTTGAACATAAAATAGGGATTCCTATTGTACAGCCTAGTTGTGTCATAAATAAACTCTTGGCAAGGGGGCGCTAGACCTTTCTTCCATTGAATCCTCGGAGTCCAGCACAGTGACCTACTAAAATGTCACTTTGCTTTCTCCCTCGCATTATTTCATGAGTAGGTTTTGCTTCTACAGTTAACTTGTAATCCTATTTGGGAAATAAATTTTGTTTTTTCTCCTTTGCCTCTCGTGCTGCCCAGCCCTGTGTTTGACCTGCAGGGATTCAATGTGTGGTTGCTGAGTAAGCAAGCTGAGTCCTCTTTTTCTAAACATATGGTTTTTAATGGTTGCCTGTTAAAGCCTGCTTCAGTGCTGTAAAAAATCCTTCACTGCACCACTCTTGATCTCTTCAAAAACATCTTTCAGCACAAATGGGGTACCACATTCAGCATAGCCACTGAGGACACGACACGTATCCGTCTTTGAGGAGCACCCCTTTCTGATACACTTCTGGTTTAAATGCCCATAATCATTCTCTTTCCCTCAGCCTTCTGGTATTTCACCCAAGAGAAATCACCTTTTAGGCTTCATTCTAACTTAAACAAATATGAGAATGTAAAGAGAGACTGAATTACTTTCGAGGCTTAAAGTTCAGAATTCATGAAGAGTTTGAGGCTTAAAGAAGTACTTAATTAACGTTCATGTTTTTTATTTTTTTTGCAGGCTGCCACATCCAAAATCCCAAAAACATCTTTTGATGGTACTTGTTTTCTATGCTAAGACTGAAGGCTGCTCTAGAACAAACGCTTTTCTTCTAAAATGATACATACTAGATAACATAGTTTTTTCCTTTCTCTACAAGTCACATCCAGGGATAAGTACGATCCTCATCTTTCATAAAGTCTCAGGCCTGGGTGCCAGGGAGCTTCTAATGTACGGTTCTGGAATTATGATAGATGCCTCTGTTTTTCACTCTATCTGTTGCAGTCCCCTATCGTGTCAGTTACTGCAGGGCAGGAGGTCAAGAGGTAGCCTCGGTCAACATCTGTAGGGTCATTTGCTTTTTGAGAACTTTATTTTTCTTTTTACATTTCATTGCTGATTCCCCAGGGGTTCTGAATTTATAATACAAGCCCATCTACACCTCATCAGAAATTACTGATTTCAGAGATTGCTGAAGAACACAACCATATCAATGAAAGGACCTGTATTTTGTACACTAATCTTTAAAATATTGCTGAAAGGCAGGATGTGGCGACTCATGCCTGTAATCCCAGTGTGAGAGGCTAAAGTGGGAGGAGTTTGAAACCAGCCTGGGCAATATTGCAAGACCCCATCTCTACAAAAAAATCTTTAAAAGTTATCTGGGCATGATGCTGCATGCCTGTAGTCGCATCTACTTAGAATGTTGAGGCAGGAAGATAACTTGAGCCCAGGAGGTCGAGGTTGCAGTGATCTGTGATTGCACCACTGCACTAGCCTGGGTGATAGAGAGAAACTTTGTTAAAAAAAATTGCTGAAATATGGTGAGATCAGCAATTGTCTAACTATACAAACTCTGCCTATGAGTTGAAATAATCCTCTTGTTCCCTTCAAATGGAGGTGGACAAAACTATTAACTTTCTCTTGTCCTTATGTCCCTTCACCTATCTTTCTAAAAATTTTATTAGGTGCTTTAATGTGTGGGCTGGAATCAATAGAGGAAAAGCTATTAAAAATTATTGGTCGGCTGTGGCTCCTCACTAAATATTATAGCAGCCTGGCAAATTAGCACATACCTCCAGGCACTAGGCCTGAGAGTAATAATGGTCTAGGCAAATAGACACTGTAATACAAGTAGAAAATACTGCCAATGTGTTGCTCTGGGTTTCTTTTGGGTGCTGTTGTTCGCCATTAATATTATTCTGTTTTTTGCTTTTATTAGTGTGAGGAGATGGAGGGCGTGCATTAACGGTTGGGAGGATTTCTTTTAAGGATGCATTATATCAAGGGCTAGATATCAGAGCCACTTGGGAGAAATAGGAAACAGGTGTAGAAACAGGTGAGTGGAATGTTGCTTATTACACCTCTGGATTAAGTGCCGGGGAAGAGTGGGCAATTTTTCAGGATGCTGTGTGCCTTGTATTCTTGGAGGATTATAGACAACATGTTCATGCAAATTATATGAAGAAGACTAGCACCTGTAAAGCCAAGGCAGAGGTGGGCCACGTAGGCAGAGACTTAATTTTCTCAAGAGAATGAAGAAAAAAGGCACTCAGTGAGGCTGATTCTGTGGTTATATATTTGAGCTAGAGGATTCAGGAGGGAGAATCAGTTCTAAGACAGAGATGGAGACATCAGTAAGATCGGGAAATACTCAGACATCAGAATTGGGGTTTGAGTCAGAATTCCTTTGCACACCATTTCTGCTCCTTCTAAGTTTCAAGTTAAGCAACAAGTCAGTGTTTCAAACCTTCTTATTGATAAACAAAAAAATTCAACAATTTATTCCGTATACTCTTCTGATTATGAAAAGTTAAGAATGAAATAGTATCTCTTGGGTTCCCCATGTGTACAATGAGGAGTTTATAGTTTGTCATTCTGTCTGCAATCCAGCAACTCCCAAGTTTGCTAATCTAATCTGGGTTGTGGAAGCAAAGAATACATTTTTTACCATGTATCTTATTCAGGAAGAATTTTTCATGTCTGCATTTGCATAACCCGTAAGCATATTTTTTTTTATTTGAGACAGTCTCTCTCTGTTGCCAGGTGCCAGGCTGGAGTGCAGTGGTGCAGTCTTGGCTCACTGCAACCTCTGCCTCCCGTGTTCAAGCAATTCTCCTACCTCAGCCTCCTGAGTAGCTGGGACTACAGGTGTGCGCCACCATACCCAGCTAAATATTTTTGCATTTTTAGTAGAGACGGGGTTTCACTATGTTGGCCAGGATGGTCTCGATCCCTTGACCTCGTGATCCTCCTGTCTTGGCCTCCCAAAGTACTGGGATTACAGGCGTGAACTACCATACCTGGCATTTTTTTTTTGAGACAGAGTTTCGCTCTTGTTACCCAGGCTGGAGTGCAATGGCACGATCTCGGCTCACCACAACCTCTTCCTCCTGGGTTCAAGCAATTCTCCTGCCTCAGCCTCCCAAGTAGCTGGGACTACAGGCATGAGCCACCACGCCCAGCTAATTTTTGCATTTTTAGTAGAGATGGGGTTTCACCATGTTGACCAGGATGGTCTCGATCTCTTGACTTTGTCATCCACCCGCCTCGGCCTCCCAAAGTGCTGGGATTACAGGCTTGAGCCACCGTGCCCGGCCCCACCTGTAACCATATTTATAAAAACTATCGAGATTAACACTGTTCAACTCATTCACCATTTACATGCTGTTCCCCACTTGGAGGTTCTAAACTTTGTTCACTTTCGGGTCAAATGAATTACGTTAAGTTTTTCTTATGAAGTTGTGTGACGGAGACTGTCTTTGTTTACTTCTGCGCATGAACAATAATTTGGTGGAGCAAATTGGCTCATGGTATTTCCTCTCAGCAGCTTCATATGCTTTGCTCTGTTATCATCCGGCCTTACACATGGCAGACGAGTGCTCTCCGAACAACCTAACTTTTTCCTGCTTGTATTTTGGCTTCTGTTTTATCTTTGAAGCAAAACTTTCCTACAGAGTATAGACACTTTTCTCTTATAGTATAAGCAACAAACGATGGGTACCAGAATGTCCCACAAAAGCATGCCTGCTTTATCATGAAAAGGGAGGATGATGAAGACGACAGTCACTCATACAACCGGGTAGAAGGAAGTCTAGCGTTCCATTGCACAACGATGGACTCACCAGGTATCCCAAAAAGGAAGCTGAGAACCCAGATTAGCACCCCCGTCTCCTGATAGATAAATCTTCTGGATGATTCTGTTGATTGTAAGGAGAAGGTCATGATACACAGTGAAAAATAATGATGAAAAATAAAGTAATTATAAAACCAAGGTCAGACATCCTGTAACAAGATAATATGGGCATTTGGGCATATAGGGGAAGTGCTAGGACTGGAGTTTAAGGTGGAAAAGGGGTAGGAGGGAGGAGGAGCTGTATTGCTTTTGTTACATTAGCCAGATTCTCTACCTTGACATTATATCTCCCAAATCTATTGAGAGGTAAGAGCTTTTAGCTGGAAGTTCTTCTTCTTCTTTTTTTTAATGGACTCTGTTATTTTTGCACTGAGGACATATAATGGTCTCAAGATTGGAGTTTGTTTTCTTAACAAATTATTCCCAAACGTGTATTATTTCACTGAGTCTTCTTATTGCTATGTTAATCAGACTAGACGATTGTAACAAATTATAATTATTGTTTCTGCAGTAACAAACGACTCCCAAATCTTAGTGGCTTATAACAAACGAGGTTTGCTTTTTCTGCCTATCACAGTCAGATGGGAGCCCTGCATCTTTTCTCCTTCTCTGTAGCTTATGTGGGAAGAGCAAGCCCCATGCCTGTACCCGTGGCAGAGGAAAAGAGAGGCTCTGGCAAACCAGGCACTGCCTCTTAGAGTCGTCCCTCAAAAGTGACCTGAGCCACTCATCCCATTTTATTGTTTGAAGTGAGTCACATGCCCCAAACTAATTTTAATTTCAAGGGTGCAGTGTGGTGTGATCCGACTAAGGTGTCTGAAGGGAGCAGAAACAGAAATATTGGTGAACCAAGCAAACGACTACCATTGTGTGTTGCTTCTACTTCTTTCTCTTGTTGTTCAAAATATTTTTCAGACTTTATATATATTCTATTGTTGTTGTTTGAGACAGAGTCTTGCTCTGTCGCCCAGGCTGGAGTGCAGTGATACGACCTCAGCTCACTGAAACCTCCGCCTTCCAGGTTCAAGTGATTCTCCTGCCTCAGACTCCTGAGTAGCTAGGATTACAGGTGCGCACATCATGCCTGATAATTTTTTTTTTTGTATTTTTAGTAGAGATAGCGTTTCATCATATTGGCCAGGCTGGTCTTAAACTCCTAGCCTCAAGTGATCCACCTACCTCAGCCTCCCAAAGTCCTGGGATTACAGGTGTGAGCCACTGTGCCCAGCCTCTATGTCATTTTTTTTTTAAAATAACTTTTTCCTCCCCTAAACATAGAAAGGCTCTAACCAGGCCTAGTTCCAACAATATCAAGTTATCAGATTATATTCTTTTATAACACTATTGATCCGTGTCACAAAAATGTTATTGAGCACTGATTCTAGGCACTGGAAAAAAACACATTAAAATGAATTTAGCAAGGCTAAATGTAAAACGCTGCATACCTTGTACAAATATAGAAGGGGTTATAGTTTTATGGGTTGTTTTGATGATGAGCTCATTGGGGCTAATAATGTGTTAGTTCTGCTAAATTTAAAAAAAAAAGCAAATATGATGTCAGGTTGTATTAACAGCAGTATTGTGCAGGTCAAGTGTACAGTGGCACTACTGCAGAGCCCACAGGTCTGACCACTTCCAGAATATTGTGGATTTTTATAGCATGTGAGAATTCTGGGAGATACAATTCAAGTTGAGGTTTGGGTGGGGACACAGCCAAACCATATCAAATAACGAAAGGATACTAGGCACAATCCCTGGGTAATGAAATAATCTATACAACAAACCTCCAAGGCAGACATGAAATATGACTGATCCAGACTGAGGTGTGCAGTAGGTGGAAACATGCATTGGATTTTGAAGACTTCCTATGAAAAACAATTGTAATATATTTTCATAATCAAAACAAGATGACTTTTTAATATTTTGTGTTCTATTTAATGTTATTAAAATTAATTTTACCTGTTTCTTTTTACTTGTAAAAATATGGTTACTAGAACATTTTAAATTATGTGTGCAGCTGGTATCTCCACTGGAGAGTGTTGATGTAATTTTTCATTATTCACATCTTTCTAGAAGCTTCAAAAATTATGTTTCACATGTGTGCATTTGTTTTAGCTTAAAAGTCAGTTACTAAGAGAGCGTCATTAAAGAATTTTTCTTGGACCAGTCACGGTGGCTCATGCCTGTAATCCCAGCACTTTGGGAGGCCAAGGCAGGTGGATCACCTGAGGTCAGGAGTTCAAGACCAGCCTGGCCAACATGGTGAAACCCCATCTTTACTAAAAATACAAAAAATTAGCTGGGCGTGGTGGCAGGCACCTGTAATCTCAGCTACTCCGGAGGCTGAGGCAGGAGAATCGCCTGAACCCAGAAGGTGGAGGTTGCAATGAGCCAAGATCGCACCAACTCTGTCTAAAAAAAAAAAAAAAAGAATGATTCTTTTCTAGTCCCAATTAAATACTGGGGTTGACTTCCAAGGAAAATATAGCCCCTTTGTGTTGAATTAATGGGAAAGGAAGCTCCGGAAAACAGGAGCCTGTGCTGCACAACTGGAAAAGGGGTATATACAGAAACCCAGCGGAGGGTGGGGTAAGAAGCAAGTCTGTTGAAAGGGTGCTTTTATCCCTCAGCATGTTAGAGGAGTATAGTCCTCACCCCTGTGAATGTGCCAGCCAGGTCTGGTCCTGGTAAGGTGGGGTGAAGATAAGATCTACCTCTCTGACTTCATCCTTTTGGGTCTCTACTTGGTAAAGTGTCTATACTTCTTGTAATTCTTACGATGATACAATTGAAGCTTTTAGGGGAGCTGTGGAACTGAGAAAAAGCAAATGAATTGTGAGCGAAAGGAAGTAAAATAAATAAATAAGAGCCTAAGTTGAGACTGCTGAAAAAGGACCATAACCCTATATATAAGTAATTGTTTTTCACCATGAACTCAAGAATTGTTCTCAGGTTTATATACGAACATGCCTACAAATACATACGAAAGTGACTCTATCTCTTTTCATTAGAAGTCCAGACGTCTTTCTAGTTGATCTCTTTGTATCTGGTCTCTCTCTCTTCCCAACCAGCCTGAACACCACGCCCATATTAAACGTTCTAACATTTCATGTTCACGCCTTCACGTTCTTCCTCAGTCTTCCATGGCTTCCCTTTGCCTAGATTAGAAGAATTTCAAATGTTGCACTTTGGTACCCAACAGCCTTTCATAACGGAACCTTTTGAACTATCAGCCTTGATATCTCTCCATCCAGCTGACCTTTCCAGTGACCTGCTTTCCTCTCTCACTGCTCCTTCCCACAGGATCCCTGGCTTGTTACCTTTATTCTTCAGATCCCGTCTCCCTTCCTGTCAGTTGCATCTCCATGCGTGCATCTCCGTCCCGTGGAATCTCTGCCCACTCCAGCCCATGAACAGCAGCTCACATGGATAGCCAGGTCTTCCTCCAAGCTGTATGCAAGTGTGGGTCACGAGAGACCAGTCACAAAGCAATTGAATAAAAATGGTCCTCAGCTGCTGCCAGCTGAAAGATTATCTTTCACAGGAAGTGTCTAGATGACGTTGTTTTATGCAAAGGAAGAAGCTGATTTTATTGCAAGTTCAAACAGAAAGGGAGTCTTCCACTATCAGTGAGTATAAAATGCACTCCCCTCCCCCAGGGGCGTGGGAGGAAAGCATGGATTCAGTTAGATGCTGAAAGCACGAAATGCAGGCTGCAACACTCAGGTTCCAGAGAAAGGAGCTGCGGTGTTAGATATTTTCATGAACAAGAACTCAGGCAGTCAGCGTTTCTGAAACACACTCAAGAGGGATAAACTCTTCTACAGTTATGTGCACGTGGATTTTAATAATCCTATATTTGGCCAAGTCAAAGACAAAAAAGGTACCTTTGATTACTAAGAATCCTAAATGAAAAAATAGACAAACCAGGGTAGAATTATAGAAGTTGAACAGAACATGGAATAAAAGGTCCAGATGGGGCCCTGACATTTTCCTGTGGCTGCACCAAAACAAGGCTGTCCATGGAAAATTCCTGACTAAGAAGAAACTGGAAACTGATACCAGAATCTCTGGTAAATCATTTTAATTTTTCCTATTTAAATAGAGGGTAAGTCGTGCCTACTTCTAGTAAATGTGTGTTCAGTCTCCTATCTTTCACATTAAGGATCAGCAAACAAAAGCTGTTTTCCCACAGGTCTAACTTCTGCTTTTATAATTAAAGTTTTATTGGAACTCAGTCACATCCATTTATTTGCACGGTGGCTTTCACACTACAACCGCAAAGTACATTCTTTGCAACAGAGACTGTATGGCTCGTAAGACCTAAAAAGTATTCACTATCTGGCCCTTTATAGAAAAAGTAGGCAGACAGCTGTTGTAGCTAAAGAACCCCTCTTGTCATTGTTTTTCATTAGCCATTATCAAAGTGGGTTCCATGTAATGACATTATTAGGTGTTACTGGGTAAGAATAGTCTAGGCTTATGCTGCAGTAATGAACAACCTCAGAATCTCAGGGGCTTAACACACAGAGCTTACTTTTCCCTCACACAAAGTTTGCTGCAGACAGTCTCCAGGGTGCTTGTCCTCCATGGGGTGACTCAGTGGTCCAGGCTGCTTTGTTCCTGTGGCTCGACTGTGTCAATGTTCTACCTTCTCAGCTTCCACTCGCTAAGGAAAGGGAGGTACGGCCCATAGACAACTCACGCCCGTTCTCATGTCACTTCTGCTCACAGCCCCATTGGGCAGAACCAGTCACGGGCCACTTCCTCCTGCGACTCCTGGCAACTGTGCTCTTCCTGTGAGCCTAGGAAGAGAACCGGAGATTGGTGATCATGAATAATGTTTATCACAATGATAACAAAAGGATGACTGTGGTCAGATAAGTTTGAAAACATTGGGTTGACCAAAATTCTATAATTCTCCTCATGTTATAAATTCTCAGTGGTTTTGCTCTGCTTACATTGTTAGGGATGAGCAAAATACAAATACTATAGGCTATCTGTCTTTCCTGTACTGTAGAAATCTTTCTCGTGCAGGAAGTACCGCTTCGCAGAGCACACTTGGGCGATGCTCTTCCTTCTCTCTCTGTGAGGACCAGATGCTCCCTGCCTAGTGTGAAGGATTTGGGTACCTTAATGTGGGCAAAACGAACAGGAATTTCTTTCCAAAGAGGTTTCTGTCTGGGTGCATCTTAGGTTAAATTACTACTGTATAATGCCCCAAACCAGGCTGCACGCTTATGCACAGCTAGATGGAAAACAGGTGGGTGCTGCACTCAGAGAAAAGTACAGGAAAGTTGTCTTAAAAACCCCAGCCTATCCTCTCTGCACCCTTTCTGATCTCACAGTATCTCTTTCTGTTCAGCTGTCCGAAGCTGCGCTTTATTCTTTCCTTCTCTAGTAAAACCTGCAATAATTTGACTTCAATTAGATCCTATTGATTTGTTATTTTGACCACGTGCAGCTTCCAAGCAAGCAGTTGCAGTTACACAGATGGGTTTGTAGGAGTGGGGTGAGGAGAGGTGTGGAGAGAAGTGACGGAAGAAAAGGAAAAGGACCGTATATTTTCCTTGAAATGTAAAACCAAGGCTTGCTTGGAGGTTGCTATGACTGAAGTATATCTTTCAAAGTTCAGACATTGAAGCCCTAGCCCTTGATGTGACCGTATTTGGAGATAGGGCCTTTAGCGGGTAATTAAAGTCAAATAAGGTTATAAGCATGGGATCTTAATCTGATAGAGACTTTATAAGAAGAGGAAGAGAGAGAGAGAGAACTTGCTTTCTCTCTCTCTCTTTTTCCATGTGCTCAAAGGAGAGCTATATGTGAACTGCAGCAAGAAGGTGGCTCTCTGCAAGCCAGGGAGAGATCCCTCATTGGAACTTAGACCCTGCACGACCTTTATCTTGAACATCCCAGGTTCCAGAACTGTTGGGAAAGAAAGTTCTGTTGTTTAAGCCACCCAGTCTGTGCAATTTTGTTATAGTATCCTGAGCAGACTAATGCAGAGGTAAAAACCTGTCTTCCCCTCTCTCCAAGTCAGGGAATTTGGTTCTTGGCATTGTTGGAGGTAGACGTGCTTTAGCTGCTGAAGACTAAATTATTTGGGATCTAGTGACCCTGGCCTTGAAGTTCAGCTGCAGGATGGAGCCAACATCACCCAAGCTCCAGTTCACTCTGCTTCTGCTTCCCCAACACAATGAGGTTCCTACCACCTCCACAACAGGGGAAGAGGCAGAGAGGATCTGGGGTTGGGGCTGGAGCTACAGGTGGAAGAAATTCACAGGCAAGGTTATGTGAAGAAAGAAGCCAGAAGAAGGGAGTTCCTTAATGTTGGAGAATAACATCCAAACCTTGTTGTGAAGCACATGAGGTTTTTGGGGTGCCTGCATGATCGAGCTTATACTTTTTCAGGGGAATTGTTGACACTGATTTTAGATGTCGAAAAACTCAATATTTAGAGGAGAAAATTGATAAAAGTTTGATTTGGTTATGTAAAAATAATACTGAGAACAGTCATTTATGTGGTTAATTAATAGTCATTTTTGTGGTTATTTATGCCTTTTGCTGTGCAGCAGATGAATACTATGCAGCACGTAAAATCTGTGTCGAATCAACTGTGTAGACTGCCTTTGATTAAGCTTCGCAGCTGGTGACTCATGGTTCACAACTAAAAGATTTCAGTGAACATTGATGTGTCACTCCTTTTGTCACTGACTCAGACGGTGTTGTCTTACAAACTTTTGCATGTGCACTGTTTATTTTGTCTTCTCAGATACATCAGAAGCAAATTAAAGTTATATTTTTACAATTTTCTTAAAATTGTAACACATAGCAGATTCTGAATAAATAGATATCCAAAAAAATGGTATCCATAACAAAAATTAATTTTATTGTTTGTACTTTCTTTTATACATGAGATGTCTAAACCCTTCTTTAAATGTCAAAATAGAGCTCTTAAAAATAGAAATACTTTTTGAATTAAAGCATCAAAAAGGACATCAGATGTTATTCGATTCAGTCCCTCCAATTTGGATTGAATTGGACTTTTAAGCCAATTGGTTAATTAAGCTAAAAAATAAACAATTTAGAGATATTATTTTCAGGTCTCTTAATTTCTTGCCAGAACGACAGATGTGCAATTCTCAAAGAGATCATTTACCATGGGCTTTAAATATTACCACAGTAAATATATTTTCTTAATGACTTCATCTATTCTTTTGCAACAAATCACTGTATTCCGATGCTTTCAGGAAACGTTTATGCATCTCTGTGGCTGTTGTATCTTGCCTTTAATGGTGTTGGTTTTGTGACACAGTGAACAAAAATGTGAACTCCTTAAGGACAAAGGTGTGTTTACTCTTGTGCCTTCATAAAATATCTGTTGACTTCTGGAATTCCCTAGGCTTTTAAAATAATACATTTTTTGAATAGATGAAAATTGTATCTATTTATGGTATATAACTTGATGTTTTAATTTATGTATACATTGTGGAATGGCTAAATCAAGCTAATTAACATATCTTCACCTCATATACTTATTAGTTTTTCATAAGAATATGGCACATATATACCATGGAATATTAAGCAGCCATAAAATGATGAGTTCGTGTCCTTTGTAGGGACATGGATGAATCTGAAAGCCATCATTCTCAGCAAACTGACACAAGAACAGAAAATCAAATACTGCATGTTCTCACTCAAGGGTGTTGAACAATGAGAACACATGAGCACAGGGAGGGGAGCATCACACACTGGGGTCTCTTGGGGGGGCGCTGCTAAGGGAGGGGAAGCTGGGAGTGGGGAGATTGGGGAAGGATAACATGGGGAGAAATGCCAGATATAGGTGACGGGTGGATGGAGTCAGCAAACCACCTTGCCATCTATGTACCTGTGTAGCAACCCTGCATGATCTATACATGTACCCCAGAACCTAAAATACAGTTTAAAAAAAAAGGAAAAAAAAAAAAAGAATACTTAAAATATACTCTCATAGGCAGGGCACAGTGGCTCATGCCTGTAATCCCAGCACTTTGGGAGGCCGAAGCAGGCAGATCATGAGGTCAAGAGATCGAGACCATCCTGGCCAACATGGTGAAACCTCTTCTCTACTAAAAATACAAAAAAATTAGCTGGGCGTGGTGATGCGTGCCGGTAGTCCCAGCTGCTCGGGAGGCTGAGACAGGAGAATTGCTTGAAACTGGAAAACGGAAGTTGCAGTGAGCCAGGATCGCACCACTGCACTCCCACCTGGCGATAGAGCAAGACCCTGTCTCAAAACAACAACAAATATCTATATACTTTCGTAGCAATTTTTAAGTATGCAATATATTGTTCACAATAGCCACAAGGATGTCTGCTTGATTGATATCTTGAACTTTTTCCTCCTGCCTAATGGACATTTTGAATCCTTTACTGATATCTCCCCTAGTCCCTGGGAGTTTAGTCCTGTAGGCCATAGTCTGGCATGAGCAAGTTCACCTTAGATGTTAGGGCTTCTGATTTTCTGACTAGTGTCTATGACATCTTTAAGCTAAAAAGGCTAAGGAAAGTGAACCATGGAACAACATTTATCTTATCTGAAAAATGTACACATATGATATTTTGGTAAAGTGTATTTTCCCCGATGGACATATATAATATTTTTATGTCTGTATTTTGCTCATATTTTGATTTCAAGTTTTGATTCCATTTTAGATATTCTGCTTTGTGTAGCCTCCGTCATAGCTCTTGCTCCTGTAACTGCTGACTTTGTGTAACCTCCATCATAGCTCTT